CAACCGGTGTTCCCAAGCGGGCCCCCATCTAAGTACTAACCAGGTCCAACGGTGCTTAACTTTGGTGATCGAACGAAAAACGGCGCTTTCATCGTGATTTGACGATCAACGAATCAATATTGTCTATGAATTCGTTTACGCATTTGGATAATATTTCTTCGATGATAATAATTCAAGCAACACATACATTGGTTATACAACAACTACATCATCCCGCTGATTAACGTGTCATTTATTTGCGAATAGTTCAATTAATTCGCGTTTCACCATACAGGATAAAAACAAAAGACAATAAATCCGACAAACATGCTATATCGCATAAACTGTAAAAAGCAACTGCAAATACTAGAAATATTAAGTATAAAAACAAGCAATAAAACATAAAAACAAAACCCAAAGAAGATAAAAACTATAACAAAACAAAGCAAAGGGATTCTATTTAAATATATCAATAAAATTATTTAAAAGTTATTTCCTCAGTTTAACAGATTTTATTTGCGGTTTAGTGGATGGAAATATATTTTTTTTAGTGTAGGTTTCAAAATGGTTTCTTTAAATGACAAACAGACGGATATATTAACCTTTATTTAAAGAAAAAACTCTACATAAATTAATAAAATTATGTATCTGCTTATTCTTCCTTTAAGATGGATAATTAAGAACCCTATGCGTTTTATGGGAAACAATTCCATAAAACGTTTAAAAATTCTCTTTCAGTTAAAAAAGGGTTAATAATAATAATAATAATAATAATAATAATAAAACAATATTCAGATATCAAACATAGTTCCAAAGATGGTATTTGTAAATAAGAGCTAAGTGACTTAACTTACAGCCAATAACTCTATAAAAGTCAGGGATCGATCTGACGCTGTATTGATATTATAAACAGAACCTTTCTTTCAAAATCGAAATCGAATCAATAATTTTCGATTTTAATAATTGTTGCGGCCTAAGGAAAGCTTGGAGATTTTTAACTTACATTAATTCATTCCCCACCTCCCAATTTTCCTTGGTTTTAAGGGTGGACCAGCCTATTTAAGTAATGCCTAAAACTTTAATAATATCTTCGCCTTCTTATGCTGTTAAGCCCTGTGAAACATTTCTGCACATGCCATCGCTTGTATATGACGTTTATATTTTAAATTTGAAATATGGCATTATTTAAAATGCCAGGATGAGTCTAATAAAACTGTTCTCTATGACACTGGCGACATTAACGTTCTTGATAATGACTAGAAATAGTCGAGAGTACGCAAGCGAAAACATGAGCATTGAACGGTTTCTTCACAAATTTTATCTGGATGTCCGGCAGCTTATTCGTAAACAGAGACAATAAAATATGGATTATTGACATCGTGGGCCAAATTGGAAGTATTACTATTACCTTAAGGTAACAGCACAAACGTAGCCTGCTTTCCAAACTTCTTTAGGAGAAAGCGAAATTCAGTGGACCAGGTGACCCTCTACTACGGATAAAAAGTCCAATTCCAACGCTCGAGTGCCATTTGAAAACACTTTCCTCGATGACATTAGTTAGCATAGGTAATCCGCCTCGCTTGTGGCTACGCAGCCTTTAATGCAGAATCTTGGCGATTCGGTCCTCTGTAGACAGCTAATAAGTTTTCTTTCCGAGTCGATAAGGTACAACTGAATATGTGCATTCTCCATTTGAGCCAACACATGGATGCTCAGGCTTAGTTTTCTTGGTTCTAACAGTTTGACCTTTATCAAAGTCACTCAAAACAAAGTCACTCAAATTTTTCTTTTTAAATGTACCATCAAGATAAAGCTGCATTGTTGTTACGAGACAGTAACTGACATTCTTGGCACATGGCCCATATATGCTGCGCCAGACATCTGAGAATACGTGACATAAAAGACTTAATGAACATGAATGTGGACTCTCGATCTTGGCAGTCGTTTCTGAGAATCTCCATTATTGAATAAAAGCTTAATCGACACATACACGCGCACACATATATCGAATGAACTTTTATTCAATAAAATTTAATAATTTTATGCATATATATAACGGTCTCTTTTAAAAGAATGCCTTCTGTCATTTTCAAAGCCATATTCAAATTCTGTGGGACACATTTTTTGTTTATATATATATATATATATATTTGAAATATATAAGACCATTTTTGAAACATTATCTTGACATGATTCGAGAGTGATCCAGCGTCATCAGAAAAAAATGTTTTATTGTATAAGAACAAAATATACATTGCTGGTGCCGGATCAACAGCGAAAAAAGGTCAAAGTAAATTTTTGTTTTTCAAAATTGTCTGATATATTTCGTATGTTGTTGTTGGATTTGCACGCAGACATAATTATATGTACGCGCAATGCGTACACATACATTTTTTAAAAACGACTTTTTTAAACCTATGTTATTTGTTATTTCTTATTACTATAAACGCTTTACTTAGTTGGCAAGTAGGTTCATTGAACTTTGTTCCATCTCGATCATCTCCTGTGGCCAAATTGGTAACTGTATATTTAGGCTATCGTAGCGGTTTCCCCTGATGGAAAAAGAGATACGGGTTCAATCCCTGTCGGGAGGCACATTTGTTTTAGTAGCACTTCCCGATCTAGACCGGTTGTTAGTAATTTCACTAAGAAAATAAAAAGCAGGTATACAACTCAAACCCGTGTATACATTAAACATAACGTTTTCCATATAAAAATAAATTAATAATAAAATAAAATATATATATATATATATATATATATATATATATATATATATATATATATATCCCCGCCAAAAAAATTATAAGAATACAAGAAAAATTAAATAAAAGCTTTAATTGCAGTACTTTGTCAATCGTCTTTAATGAAACTGGTATAAAAGAAGGTTCTTCCCAATACATAATTATATATAAACACACACACACACACACACACACACACACACACACACATATATATATATATATATATATATATATATATATATATATATATATGCATACATATATATATATCAATGCGATGAGAACAAAAGTAATATATAAATTCCAACGTTCACAGCATTAGGCAAGGCATACGGTTTGCCTACAAGCAGGGTTGTTTATAACCATTTTCGATTCTCACCCGTCGAAGTGCAGTGGAAATGCACTGAAACCAAGTTGCATCTTTGTAGTGAGTAAAATGGTTTTGACTATATGATAAAATTATAATATATATATATATATATATATATATGTGTGTGTTTAAAAAAATATCCGTGGGTAAGTAATCCAAGTAGATCCTATTAATATAAAATATTAACACTGATCTGCAAAAGAGCGGTCAATATAATTTTTATTATAGAACATATAAGTGAATTACAATGAATGAAGCCCAAACAAATTACCCATACAGATGGCCATTTCGTCTTCGGGGAAACAATTTCCCTGAACTTTTCAATGCAACTACATTTCTTAAAAGAAATGAATTTCAAAGGAAATGAAAAGTAAAGGAAGGAAAGAAGGCAAAAGGGGACAAAATAAAAAGGAGTAAAGAATAAATAACACATAAGGAAGAAGGGAGTTATAGAGATATAGAGAGGTAAAGAGACTAACGTGATTATGGTGGAATCTGTCTAGATAAAAATGGCGGTTGAAAATGAACGTAACCTAAATTTAACATATCAGCACATGTACAAAAAGGAAGAAGGAACATAAAAAAGAAACAAAAAAATGAGCATAAAAAATTACAGAGTTTAAAAGACTATAGAATGGAAATAAGAATTTAAAATTAATACTATTATATAATTATAGTATAAAAATGTTCATAAAAAGATTTTAATATTAATCCCTTCAATACTATATCTTTAATTATATAGTAAAAAATATAGTGAAAATTAGTCAATTATTAATATACTAACTTCATTTAAATATCTTAATATGTCAATACAATATTAATAATATTCAAATATTAAAATGATAATTTAAATTATGTCATATTTATATTAATTATTTAAATCTCCTATAAAGAATTAAATTTAAATTCAATATAAAAAAAGGAAATTTAATATTAAAATAAAGGGTAGTGAACAAAAAATTAAAGGGAAGATAGAAGAATATAAAGGAATTAAAAAACCTAATAAACATCGTAACACATATAAAAAAAATAAATAAGAAAGAATATTGATGAATTTGGCTAGATTGCAAAAATTATTTAAAACATCTTTTTAAAAAATTTGAAACTACCAGCATCGATCGTTCATGCGCTTGTGCAGTCACAACAACGTCAACAAATCCAGTCTGATGAAGTCCTAACGTATGAAACGCGCCACAAATATATATTTTTTCTATTTCGTCTTACAATTTCTTCAATACTGTTGTCGCCATTTTATATTTTGATTTCGCGCCTGCGCGTTGTTTGCTTTTTGATTTTGTCGACTGATTACTATAGTAGCACCGTCTGTGAGAAAAAGAACACCATATGGCAATACGCTCTGCCATAAATTTGGAAACGGTTTCTATACTGCATGGCATTCGCTCCGGAAGCTCCAGTACGAACATTTCAGAGTGGTTATCGACCCGGGAACATTGCAGATGATTCTAAAAGAGTTGGATGAGTCTAATAGTGATTCCGAAGGTGTTTGGAGTGATTACTAGTGATGGTGATGTCATACCAGCCTTCATCTACTAACAAGGCTCCAGACTCAACACGGAGGCCTACATCAAGTGGCTTGAGGATGTAGTGTTGCCCTGAATCAAGAGAGTGGCTACTGGAAGACCTTATATCTGGCAACAGGCGTCTGCACCATGACGCACAAGCAGGAGAACTCAGTCATGGCTGACAGACAATTTCAGCGACCACATCACCCCTTATATTTGGCCATCTAACTCCCCAGACTGCAACCCCCTTGATTATTATGCGTGGGGCACAGTTAAGCGAGAGACCAACAAAACTCTTTGTAACATCAAAGATGAACTGAAGCCTAGGATTATGGAGCATTCACCAACTTAAACAAGGAAACCGCCCAGAAAAGTTACAGGAGATTCCGAAGTTTTCTGGAGGCTGTGATTGAAGCCAATGACAAATATACTGAATAAATTTACTCTTTACTATTACAAGATATTTTTGTGTAATTTTGGTAAA